AGTATGATTAAGTTAGATTCAACTTGTTAAAAGACTCATTAAGAAACATATAAAAGGATATAAAACCGAAATCATTTGATTGAGTAAGAGTGAGCCTTACCAAACTTATTAAAAAAACATGTCAACAATCTGCTAATTAATTTACCTGAAGTGTATGGATGTTTTTTAGATGACCATGGTTGCAAGCCGTTTTCACAATACGTTTCAATTTGAATCTTCAAAGAATCAACATCCCACCATTTTTTCCACCTTGCAGTCGCCATGGCTTCTTCCATAGTATGCACATATAAAGGATGTTTAGAAATCGCCATATCTACATCTTCCATGATTACAAGTGAATGAAGCAATAATAACGGATCAACCACCAATTGCATTTTCGCATCAACCCAGATGCTATATTTGGAATTTGGAAAAAGTCTATGAACCAAGTATTTCGGGATTACACCATTCATGGCTGGATTTTCGTAAAGTTCTTCACTGGAAACTTCTACAATTCTCCATACTCCGATCCTGTTTTCCTTAGTTTTTCTCGAGAGTAGGTTGTGAAAGTAGAGTTGTTTGATTGTGACATTGTCGACAAACATGTAGAAACAAACGTGATCCAGGGTGTTAAATCCGAGGCCTTGAGGTTGACGGATTTTGTCGTGGTTTCCAAAAATGGCGGAAACCACCACCACTCCGTTGCAACTTTCCATTGCGATTCTATCTGCAAGAAGTCTATTTCAAGCAATATTTGATGTTGATTTTGTTTTACAAATTCTCGATTTTGATTTGTTTCAGAACATTTAACGTGGTGATTATGAAATGGTCGTGAAAATACAAAAATCCTGCATGAATTCAATGATACTAACCGTAATCACTGATCGGAAATTTCTTAAGAAACCCACAAGGGATTTCGATTCCATCATCACGATGATCATAATACGATAGTCGTGTTTGAGTAGTGTAATTCATCCCAAACTTTTCACCATTTTCATTCCCTTGTATATACCTCAAGCCATTGGAATCCGAGGAAGAATTCTCAATAACTCGTCGGATTTCGTCCACAACAAATGAATAATCTATAAAGAAGAATAAAAATCAATACAAATCAATCCAAATCATTATCTAATATGAACATTTCGTTACCTGAGAAAAAAACAGGGGAATTGCAGGAGGATTTGATGGTGGGAATTGGGTGTTTATGTTGGCCATAAGATTGAGGGTAAAGGAAAAGAGGAGATTGGAGGGGATCAAAATGGAGAAGATCGGAAATGGCATTTGGTGGTGGGAGAAAGAGAAGTGTAGAAGGCGAAGAAGAGAGAAAGGAAGAGGTAAGAAAGAGAAGAACAGAGGAGTTTTGATTGGAAGAGAAGAGGTTTAGAAGTTCTTACGAGCTTTCCCATTTTCTAATGAAATTAGATTCATATACATACAACCATAATATATTTTAATTTTACAAAGACAAGTTATTACGTTTATCTTTATTTAATCTCGTATGTGTAGGCTAGTCTGTTGTTATCTTTGGAATGTATATCAGTATATTCCTCGGTATTATAAAATAAATATGTCAAGTAATAAAAGCTAATATTATAGTAATTCTTATAATAAGACTCAAATTTGTTAATTACCCCAGAATATATAAACATACAGAACCTGTAAATGCAAATTGCAAAGAATGGAGTAAAAACGTTTTAGTAAGGAAGAAATCGATTCAGGTAATTGAAAATTATCCAATAGTATAAGACTCTTTCACAAATTAACAGCAACAGTAAAAGATGGAGTAAAAACACAAAGAATGAGAATGGTGAAGTAAAAAAAAAAAAAAAAACGCAGTGAAAAAACATACCGAAAAAAACATAGTGAAAAAACTCGATATATCCTTTCCGTTGTTGTCATATATATTATCCGTGTTATCGACGAAAGCACACACTTTCCTTTGTTGTCACGGAGATGAATGGGGTCTTACCTTAAAAGCTTCAACAACTTTTTTCCCCTTTTCAAGTTGTGAAACTGGAATATTCTATCAATTTATAAACCAATCCGTGCTATTAAAGTTGATTATTATATAATAAACAAGGTATTTTGATGAAATTAAATGTTTCGTATCACCTCTTTTAGTTAATGTAAAGTTTACTCGTTGGATGTGTAGATATGTTTAATCAAATATATAACAAAACCATCAAACGATTTAAGATATGAAGACATACATAAGTATCTAACATATATATATTCGATGTAAATCAAACTAGCCTACAAATAGATAAAAATTATGAACAAATCGGCCATAAGTCACAAATCATAACATTCCTTGACTTCAAATCATTCATCCCACATTTTTTTTCAAGTACTTATCACATTTTGTTTGAATGCCACCATTAGCCAGCAAACCAGTGTTAGCCCTCTTGGTTCTAATTGCTTGGGTCGCATAGGACCCACGTTTAATATTGTGCCTATACTCGGGTGCCACATGTTCAAATACTTCCATATCGAACATTTTGAGCTTCATCTTTGGGTTCATTTAATCTCTCACAAATCCAAAAGCTAGTTGATCCCTTGGGTTAAATGCTTCTAACTCATTGAACAAAAGACATGAAAATAAATTGTTTCTCACACCATGTTTCCTTAATTAAGATAATTCTCTTAAATTGCACTATCTGGAACATATGTGAAGTTATAAAAAAATTAAATAGATATTATAAAATACACATTTTTGTGGAAGTTTCCTTCAAACTTCAACATTGGATGATTTCTAGAATACCATTCTACACATGTGGTTTTAATTTGTCAAGAATGGGTGGTAACATGTTTGTCAAGAATGGATGGTAGCATGTTTGTCAAGCTTGGATGGTAATAGACAATTGAATTCATACATTCATTTGCCTATAAAAGGAAATGAAACCAAGCTTATTAAAAACACCACACCTCAAATTACATCTTCATTTTTCTCTCATATTCATACAAATATATATTTGATATATTTGTTTTTCTTTCCTCTATCTCTGTAAACACTGAATATTATAGTAAATTGGTTCTCGGCTTCCTCCGCCCGTGGTTTTTCCCGATTTGGGTTTCCACGTAAATATCGCGTGTTTTTTCTTTTTATCGTTCGATTTATTCTTGGTTGATTATTCAAATAGTTTTATATTCCGTTGAATCGCTATCGTGATATTTGGGTTTTATACTTCGATCTTGAAGTTATCGATTATTTATTGTAGTCGATTTGTCTACAATTGGTATCAGAGCTATCCGGGTTTTCCGATAACGATTCGTAAAAAACTATTTTCAACCATGTCATCGATGAAATACGATATTCCTTTACTTGACAAAGAACACAAGATTCCCTCTCTGGCAAGTAAAGATGAAAGATGTGTTGATCCAAATGGATCTCCACAAAGCACTATTAGGAATGGAGAAAATGCCGGCAACTTGGTCGACTGAGGAAAAGGAGATGAAAGATCTGAAGGCGTCGTCGCAGATCCGTCTGCATCTTTCTAACGACGTTCTCCAAGATGTGTTGAAAGAGACATCCGCAGCGGCTCTCTGGCTAAAACTCGAGCAGCTACTTATGACGAAAAGCTTGCCCAACAAGCTACACTTGAAGCAACGACTTTTTAACCTAAAGATGGGTGAAGGTAGTTCTTTGTCTGATCACCTCTCTACCTTTAAAGAGCTTGTAGGAAATCTGGAGAATATGGACGTCAAATACGAAGATGAAAACTTGGCGTTATTTTTATTATCTTCTCTCCCAGACTCCTACGATCACTTTCGTGACACCATTATCTATTCTCGGGACACTCTTGTCCTTGACGAGGTAATGACTGCTCTTGATTCAAAGGAAAATATGAAGCAGATAGTTGGGAACAGTAGCAGCGATTCTAAAGCCGAAGGTCTCAACATCAGAGGGAGACCTAACGAGAGAGGTAGCTCTTCACAAAACCGATCTAGATCTAAGTCCAAAGCCAATCGCAAGTATTGCAATTATTGCCACAAGAAGGGACATCTGATCGATGAATGTTTCAAGTTAAAGAACAAGGAGAAAGTAAAGGCAATCGCAAAGGGAAAAAACAACCAATAACACCGTTGAAGCCGAACTGGTTCCGATGGCGAGCTTCTATCCGTTTCAGACTACGGTTTAATGACCACGAGTGAGTGGGTACTTGATTCAGCGTGTACTTTTCATATGAACTCCAACCGAAGCGTTTTTCATTCATATGAAAAGGTTAACGAAGGCCACGTTCTAATGGGTAACGACACTTTGTGTCGTATTATTGGACGGGGTACACTCAGGTTCCGCATGTTCGATGGCGTTGTTCGAACGATTCAAGATGTGAAGCACGTATCCGGTCTTAGGCGAAATTTACTAAGTCTCGGTACTTTCGAGAAGAAAGGTTACGAGTTTGTTGGCAAAGACGGGAAACTCCATATTTTCAAGGAAGGTTCTGTGGTCATCCGAGGAGTTAGAAAATCCGCAAACCTTTATATTATGGATGGGCAAGTTATCTCCGGCGAAGTCTCGATATGTTCTAAATCCCTCTCCAACGCTGATCGCTCTCGTCTATGGCACCTCAGGCTCGCTCACATGTCATACCATGGTATGAATGAACTAAGTCGAAGGGGGTTGCTTGGGGAGCACAAATCAATCGAACTTGAATTCTGTGAAGATTGTGTATTTGGAAAGCAGAAGCGAGTGAGTTTTATCGGTGGCAAACATACGACGAAAGGGCCACTGGACTACATACACTCTGATTTATGGGGACCAGCGAAGGTTACATCGAAAGGTGGAGCCTCTTATATGCTCACGATCATTGACGATTTCTCAAGAAAGGTATGGTCGTTCTTCTTGAAGTCAAAGGGAGAAGTATTCCAAACTTTTAGAGATTGGAAAGTATTGGTTGAAAAGCAATCAGGTTTTGAAGTGAAATACCTTCGTACTGATAATGGACTGGAATTTTGTTCTGAAGAATTCAACTCCTATTGCCGTAGGGAAGGAATTACGAGGCATCGCACCGTAGTTCATACACCACAGCAGAACGACGTAGTGGAACGTATGAACCGCACCATCATGGAGAAGGTCTGATGCATGCTATCTCATTCGAAGTTGCCGAAGTCTTTTTGGGCCGAGGCCGCTTCAACCGCATGCTACATTATCAACTGTTCCCCTTCTCGTGCTATTCAAAAGAAGACCCCATTTGAGCTTTGGTCCGGCCAACCTGCTGATTACACGAAATTGATTCCATTTGGATGTCCAGCATATGCCCGAGTTGATAACGGTAAATTGGAACCGAGGGCAATTAAATGCGTCTTTCTCGGATATCCGACAGGTGTTAAAGGGTTCAAATTATGGAGCCCGGAGCTAAGCAAGGTTTTGACATCTAAAGATGTGACCTTCGATGAAAAAGCCATGCTTCATCCTGTCTCCAACATTCAGACCAGAGAAAATGAAAATTCGGAAAAAGACAAAGTTCGAGTGGAGGTGGAGTTTCCTTTAAATTCATCTTTCGAGGACCAGTCTCATGAAGGTGTCGAGGTTTCTCAACCCTCGAATAATCAACATTCCTCTTCTCATGAGCCAGCCGAAGCTCCAAGCCAACCTCACAGTCCCTCCATTGCAAGAGATAGACCTCGCAGACAGATTGTACCTCCAAAGAGATATGTTCAAGCCAATTCTGTCGCTTATGCACTTACAGTTGCCAATGAAGTTGAGTCTGTTCTGGAGCCCACAAGCTACAACGAGGCCATTCAATCCAAACATTCTAATAAGTGGATGGTTGCCATGCACGAGGAGATGGAATCTCTTCAGAAAAATGGCACATGGGATCTCGTTCCAGCTCCAAAGGGTAAGAAGACAGTTAAGTGCAAATGGGTCTACAAGTTGAAGGAGGCTATCCACCCTGGTGACAAACCAAGATATAAAGCTCGTTTGGTAGCCAAAGGCTACAGTCAAATCCCAGGTATCGATTATACCGACATTTTCTCTCCGGTTGTGAAACACACGTCAATACGTGTCTTGTTGGGATTAGTTGCCTCTCATGACTATGAATTAGAGCAACTTGATGTTACTACAACATTCTTAAATGGTGTGCTTGAGGAAGAGATATATATGCAACAACCTGAAGGTTTTGTAGCTCCTGGCAAGGAAAGCTACGTGTGCAAATTGAAGAAGTCTCTTTATGGCCTCAAGCAATCTCCTCGACAATGGTATAAAAGGTTTGACTCATTTATGACCAGTCACAAGCTGAAAAGGTGCACCTACGACAGCTGCGTTTACTACAAAAAGTGTGACGATGGTTCAATGGTCTATCTACTTTTATACGTGGATGACATGTTAATTGCAGCGAAGAATATAAAGGAGATTCAAAAGATAAAAGACCAGTTGAATGCTGAGTTCGATATGAAGGACTTGGGTGCTGCCAAGAAAATTCTAGGAATGGAAATAGTGCGAGACCGTAGTGCAAGAACTCTATACCTTTCTCAACAAAGCTACATTGAGAAGGTTCTGCACCGTTTCAATATGCATGACGCAAAAGAAGTCAGCACTCCTTTCGCAGCCCACTTCAAGCTATCATCCGCCTTAAGTCCTACCACCGAAGAAGATATAGCATACATGGCAAAGGTACCATACTCCAGCGCTGTAGGATCTCTTATGTATGCTATGATTTGTACACGTCCAGATTTGTCATATGCGGTAAGCATGGTGAGCAGATACATGGCGAATCCAGGAAAGGAGCATTGGGTTGCTGTTAAATGGATTTTTCGCTACTTGCGAGGTACTTCCTCTTTATGTCTGCGGTTTGGAAAAACCGATAATGGAGTACTTGGTTATGTGGATTCCGATTATGCAAAGGACTTGGATAAAAGACGATCGATTACAGGGTACGTGTTTACTTTGGGTGATTGCGCAGTTAGCTGGAAAGCGCAGTTACAATCTACTGTAGCGTTATCCACCACTGAAGCCGAATACATGGCTGCTACGGAAGCAGTGAAGGAAGCCCTCTGGTTGAAACGGTTGATAGGTGAGCTTTCAAACAAGTTATCTGTTAACACTGTTTTTTGTGACAATCAAAGTGCAATATTTCTGACGAAGGATCAAATGTTCCATGATCGAACGAAGCATATTGATGTTCGTTATCACTTCATCAGAGATGTTATTGCTAAAGGCGATATTACAGTAAACAAGATCAGCACCAATGATAATCCTGCTGATATGTTCACTAAAAGTCTTCCAATAGCCAAATTCAAAGCATGTTTGGATTTGGTGGGTGTTTCAGATCGCATTTGAGCCTGATAGGCTCGTGGTGGAGGAAGTATATTTACTTTTCGAAATCAATTTTTTCTCATATGGTGTTTGCAGATTCTTATAGAGATTTGGAGTATGATGAGCTGTTGATAAACTGTTTTGCATGATCATTGTGCAAGTTAAAGTTTTTTCATCCTGTCTCATTTGAAGTCAAGGTGGAGATTTTGGAAGTTTCCTTCAAACTTCAACATTGGATGATTTCTAGAATACCATTCTACACA